GAGGATGCGAAAACTGTTGGAAAAGTGATATCAACTCAACTTGTTGCTACTCTTCCAATTCCTTAAAACCAATTTCTGCAACAACAATTACCACAAGAACAATTACCAAAGGTATTGTTATTGGAAGAAATGAAGGAGGTTCAAGCTCAAAACCTCAAAAAGATGTTGTAGGAAGAGGAAAAGGAATATTATATAAAAAATCAAAAGAGAGTTGAAAGCTGAGGCTGAGGCTGAAATGGAGAGGATGAGGCAAGTTCAGAGTATAATGAGACAAAGGGCAAGTGATCCTCCCTCCATGAACAAAGGAGATCCTGCAAAACTTTACTCTATGAAACAATAGAGTCAAAAGTTGTGTGTAGGGAGATGTATGAGTTCGAGAAGAAGCCAAAAAGAAGTTATGATATTGCGAACTCAGATCATTGCCAATTGGATTTCCCTATAAATGAAATGTTGTTCATCAATGCTCAATACAAGATCAGTGAGAAATTTGATAATCCGAATGATTATACTCAAATGAAAATCAGATTTCATGCTGTCTTGGGGAAGAATCCAGATGAAGTTTGGTCCTTAATGAAGATCAAAAAGGTGGTGACAATAAAGAAGGATATTTGTTTGAAGAGATGCTAAAATTTTGATATTTTGTTATCAGAGCTGACAACAAACAATATGACTTCACAGTTGCTGACTTTCCATTGATGAACTGCAATGATTTAATTCAAGTAGCACTGATCCTGAAGCATATGGAAGAAAACAATCTTAAAGGCTCTGATACAGATGTATTCAAAGTAGGCTTCGCACATGTGAAGACTTTCATAGACAACTATTTCGATTGTCTAGCCCTTACAGATGATGAATTAGCAAATGTGCTGGGAAGGGAAGTGAAAGTTCCATGGGAGGAGACTTTGACACAATCTGCTTTGTCAAAGTATGGTGTTGGTGAAATCTGCCTGAAACCTTTTGGTATGGTGTTTTCTGGCAGAGATACAAAAGGAAATCCGAAGAAATTTTTGTTCAAAGTCTCAAAGATTGAAAGATATAATTCTTCGCAATACAATCACTTTATAGTACGTATGAATAATTACAAGAAGAATAACGAAGGAGACAAGAAAGATTTGAAGAAGGTGATCTCCTGGTATGGATAAGTGTGAAAGATAATTCACTCTGCAATTCAAAAGCTTTTAAGTTGAATTGTATCGACTGATTACAAAGGGGGAGAATGTTGATGTATATTGTAAAAAGTTGAATAGAGTGTTTTGTGTAGTTTCGCATTTTATGTTATTTTACTAAGTCATTTTTTGTGCGAAGTGAAAATGTATAGACTTAGTATATTTTTTGTTTGTTCCCTATAAATAGGGACTTAGGCTAGAAGTAGAGGGACGGATGCTAGAACTCACTTCTGCTTATTCTGTAATCAGACTTAATCAATATGAGATCTGATTAATATTTACTCTTTGTGTTCTTCATCTTAAATCATTCAAATCTATCATTTCTTTTCAAAATACTCGATAACAATTCTCATCAATATAAAATTTAAAAGTTAAAATAGAGAAATCAATACATTGAAAAATAGCATTAATGAGGATGTCTAATAAATTTAAAATGGAGAACTAATAGATTGACAAGTGGCAATACATTAATTAAGAGGTCTAATATGGTGACATATGACAAAAGAACTATTCTTTTATTAGTATAAACTAGTTTATAACCCGTGGGAACCACGGTTATAAAATTAATTAAACTTTTATAGTAAAAGCTCAAAATTATTATTAAGTAATTTTAAATAAATTATTAATTTAAGAGATATTTTTTATTAGTTATGTGAAATTATAATCATTGATTCAAATAAATATATAAAATTAATTTTTAATATATATTAGATATTTTTTATTTGTGAATTAATGAACACAATAATTTAAAATTTAAAATTTAAAATAAAATCACATTAATAAGGAGGTCTAATAAATTTAAAATGGAAAACTAATAGATTGACAAGTGACAACACATTAATTAAAATATCTAATATGGTAACACATGGCAAAAGAACTACTTTTTTATTAGTATAGAGATTATGAAACCTAATAGTATGACACATATGAAAAAAAGAATAAAATTATTCTTTTATTAAAATAAAGATTAATTTTATTTAACTTATTTACGTTTGCATTAAAATTAAAGGTACTTTATTGTTTATTTTTTTACTATATGTTTATCGATTTATTATGTTTATTGCATTTTCTAAGTAATGCTCTACATAATTAAACTTATTCCTTTGTTGAACGTGTTCATAACTAAAATTTTAAATAATTTTCAGTCAATTATAAATTTAAGTACATTATCATATATAAATTGCAATACATTCTTATGTTGATGTTTGATGAATACATGTTATTTATGCATCGGCGTAAATACCTGAAATTTTTAATTATATATAATTTTAAGAATATTAATGATATTCAATAAGGATAAAGAGATCTAAAATGAGAAACCATTGTCATTAGTATTTAAAAGAATTTTGACGTGACTAGATATGATTTGATACTGCCCCACACTAGGTTGGTTATCTTATGTGAGCAAAGCTCCTGCAAAACAGTTGCAAATAAAGGTGTCAAGATTAGCATTTAATAGTATACTAAAATCTTGTAAAGGGACTTCTTCAAAAGAAATGTTTGTCCTTTAAGAACATATTACATATTATAGATAACTAGTAGCGAGAAACAAATGGAACGACACAGGGGTGTTTGGAATTGCTTTTAAAACAACTTTTGTTTTTTTAATTTTTCCAAAAAGTTAAAAAATGGCTAAAAGATGTTTGGGTAATGCAAAAGATCTTTTAAAATAACCTTTTGTGTAGGAGGAAAAGTTAATGTTTCAAAAGTCATAAAATCCTATCTTTTTAGGACTTTTTAACATGAAAAGATAACTTTTACCCTAAAAGCAAATACAAATATATTTTGAAGACTATCTTTTGGAAAAAAATCACTAACCAAAAAGTCCTTTTAAGAAAAAGAAATTTTAACATCAAAAAGTAATGCCAAACACCCCCATAGATTGAAAAAAGCAATACGACTACCACTCTATTCTTGAGTTTAATAAGTAAGGCAGGGAAGATGAAATGAAGGCAAGGGAATGGAAAGAAAAAATAAATAAATAAATAAATAAAAAGAGGGGGGGGGGGGGGGGGAGATGGAAGTAAATTTAATAATTAGGGTTTCAACTATAATATGTATGGAAATGTAATTTGAGAACACACAAAGTTCTAGTGGGGATGTTTGTATTTGTATTATTAAAGGAGAAAAAGGTAGGCATGACTTTGAAAGATATCAATTGGTATAAGCCAAGCTATTTGTTAATAGTTTTTAGAGTAAATTATACCAAGCTATTTGTTAATAGTTTTTAGAGTAAATTATACCAATCGTCCGTGTGGTTTTGGATAGCCTATCACTTAATTGATTAATTTGAACAGATTTGGTCTAATGGTATCAAATGTTTGAGAATATATCTCTCCCCTACAGGGGTTGAGAGTTTAAATCCCACAATGGATCTAACCATTCAAAGAATATTAAAAAAAATGACCAATTTGAAAATAGGAAAGCCTTGGCAAAAATATATGTTCCTTAGAGGAGTGTGTTAAAATACTTCTTGTCTAACATCATTCTTCACAAACATAAGAAATTATGAGAGCAATGTTGCTCTTAATTGGTAAGACATTTTTTGTAACCCCCAAACAGACAATATCTAATCAATATAGCAAATCCTTGCTTTCTTCTGGCTTGTTTTATTATATGGAATTGTGTTTTACTACTTTTAACAATAAAAAGCGCATAAAATGATGTATTTATTGGAATTGTGTTTGATGCAAGAACTATATAAAATGGAGGATTTATTATATTTATTAAAGATGGTCATATACAAATTGTCTTGGTTCTAAAACAAAAGGTTTTAAAAATACAATGGCTAAATAAATATAGTTTGGACACGTTACTTTATCATTTTGCCACTTAGGCCACCAAACTAGTTGCGTATCATACAAAATATGACTATTTTACCCTCAAAACAAAACATGAAAAAGTAAAAACAAAAAAAACAACGTTCAAACACTTGAGCAATATTCCCAATTCAATAACCAAACACACATTTTTTTTTCAATCACACATACTTGTAAGTTCTATGTGCCAAAACCAACTAAACGGGTATATCAAAAACCCGCTTCCATCTGAATTTTATCATTTTTACCAAAAACAATCAAAACATCTCTATATGCCTCCTTTTACTTGTACAACACAGTTCTTACTTTTTCCAAAAATTTCCATGAAAAAATATACACAGAAAAATCAGTTGATGCAACTTTCTTCATTTTTACTTACCAACTGCCACCTTCTTCATTTTTTGAGATCCACCTCCACCCTCACTAGAAGATGATCCAGCTTCTGACACATCACCAATGTCTAATGAATCCGGAAGATTCTCAGAGAAATCACCACTGTGCATCTGCAAAATGGAAGAATTACTTACATGTCTGGATGACAAGGGCATTTATGTCTTTTACACACACACACGAGAGATCCATGTCATACTTTCTTACTTAATGGACTTAATTAGGAGGACATTGCTTAATCTAGGAAGCTATATATGAGTGTTTTGTTTTTTACTTTCCTCATTAAATCCTACCTTTTTTTTTTTATACAAATTGGAGTTATTTTCTCAAATTCATTTCTTTCTATTACAACATTGTATTTTGAAAAAGAAAAAAGGATTAATGTCAAAAGTCAAAACAGACCTTATATTTTGTGTTTTTTCCGGATTAAACCTCAAATTTATTTTTTTGCCTGAAAAAGAACTTGTATTTTTTCATTTTTTATGATCTAGCCCTTTTACTCATTTTTTTCCAAAAGAATTAAAAATGTGAGGGTTTTTTTGAGAAAAACTAAAAAAGTCGAGGGTTTATTTGGAAGCATTTAGAAGGTTGAGGGTTTTTTTCGGAAAAAAAAAATACAAAGTTGAGGGCTTTTTCTGAAAAAAAAATGAAAAAAATACAAGGTAAAAAGTAAATTTGAGGTTTAATCTGGAAAAAGCACAAAATATAAGATCTTTTTTGAGATTAACCCAAGAAAAAAATACACCAAATTATAATATTGTACTTTCAGTTTTTTTTATTCTTAAGACATAGTAACACGTTGTATTCTCAGCATTTTTCTTATTAGGGCATTGTGCTTTGAAAAATCTACCCAACTATAACAATGTACTTTTAATTATTTTTCTTATTAATTGTTTTATATTTAATTATTTATATAACATTGTTGTAATTAGGTAGATTTTTCAATGTATAATGCTGCAATAGGAAGAACTGAAAGTAGAATGATATAATAATAAACAAATCAATGAAAGTAGGTGCATTTATCCATAACAAAGAGCATGTATATTGAAGATACATACAATGTGCATAGACATGTTGACAAGAGTACAAGGGAATGGAATGGATCATTCCATTCCATTGTCATGTTTGGTTGGCTTGAAGGAAGCAATTGAGTCATTCAAACATGTTGTTTGTATTGTATAAATAGATAACTAAATAAAGTTAAATTGATCAATGAAGAATAATATTTTATTTTCTAAAGATAAAATGTAATTAAATAAGGTATATCATTAAATAAATTGCATATTAGCATATTTCATTTAAAATATTTACAATATAAATTTCAAATAGTTAAAAAAGAATTATTTATCATCTACAAAACTCAAGTACTATAAAATCTTAAAATAGAACTATAATAAAAAAAACAAATTTTAGTTATTATGAAAAATAATAGAAATGGTTGACGTTTTAATTTTTTTTAAAAGATCAACATTATTGAAAACTATATGGATACAAGTAATTTATTAATAGAATATATATATTATTCCTCAATTCCTTGAAGGAATGAATAAAAAAGAGAAGGAATTGCACTAAATGAGGAATACTCCATTCCATTCCTTTGTGGCAAAAAAACATGATTTTTTTCAATCCAACATGATTCTCCATTCCATTCCCTCATCGATTACTACATACCAAACACCTACCTAATAGTTTGTTTAGTATGATGGAATGGAATCACAAACAAATGGAATGAAAATCAAACCAAGAAAAGGAAGGAATCACAAATTACAATGCTCAATTCCATTCCAACTATGATTCTTGTATACAAAGCACTAAATAAAACATACCTCAAGTTGATTCAGCATATCAACTGTGGCTTCCATGTCACCTCTGTTTGCCATATAGACACTTGAAAGAGACTCATCAGAGACACCAGGAAACGTCATCTGAAGATACGCCAAATTCATGTCATGATCAATATCCATGGCCTGTTTTCCTGCCAGCTCAGCACTATGTGATGATGAACCATAAGACTCAAAACCAGAATGATTCTTGAGTTTCAAGCTATCTGGACTCTCAACAGAAGCACCATGGTTTTGTGTAGTGTTTGCAGGGGAAACATATGTTGATTCATAGCCTTTTGTTTCATGAGTTGTTGTGGGCCCTCTTCTAGAGAGTGGAATGTAAGAAGTAGCATATGGATTCAATGAAGATGATCTTGCCTTCATTGTTCTTGGTTCATCAATTGACTAAGAGGAGAGAAGATTTCATGAGGACAAATTTGTCATTGTTATCAATTGAAATAACTACAGAAACACAAGCTTTGTAAACAACCTAACAGCAAGAAATAGCAATATACTTTCACTTATTTGTGAATTATAGCATCCTACTTCATTTCCTTTTGCTGCAGCATTATGCTTTGAAAAAAAAATCTTATCAAGGCTTATTTACTTTGAAAATCTACCTAAATATAGCATTTTTCTTGTTAGGAGAATATACTTCAAAAGATCTTATCCAGTTATAGCAGTAGAAATTGGTTTGTATTTGATTGACATTGCTATAATTGGTTAAAATTTTCAAGGTACAATGTTGTATTAGAGCATTAAGCATTTAACCCTAAAATTAACAAAAATAATCATACTGTATGTTAGTTTATAGCATGGAATAATAACTGATTTGAATAACAGTCAAGGCCTTAAAATCAGCCTCTAACTCCTACTCCAAAAGATAAATTAATAACAACTCAAGCTACAAAAAACATTCCTTCAATCTTAAAAAGCACTAGAGTGGCTTAGTTTCTATGAGATTCACCTAGAAAAGTAACAGTCACCACTATGCAATGGCTGTATTCATCAATTGGCAAGTAACACTTGAAGGACATGCAGAGATTACAAAAAGATTATGGTATTACTTCCTTGTTGATAGTTCATATCATGCATAAAAACTTCAAGAATTCAGAAAATACAAACTAAGAAAGTAACAGCTTATATGATAAGATTATCAAGAACTAAATTTCATATCCACAAGAAAACACACATATCTGCTTCAACTAGATCTTGTTATTCTGTGGAGTATTATAATACTTTACCTGATGAAATCTCAAATAGAAGTGAAAAGAAAGCATGTGCATATTCTAGAAACAACAGGTTGCGATTATCTGAAGCGTATCTATAGCGACACGACAAATAAACTTCCAAACTTTGATTTGATTAATTTTTTGTCACTTACAAAGATTACAGAGCATCGAATATAACTAATTGTCAACCCAAGTACACGATCCGAATACAAATATAAACAAAATATTCCGACACAAACATTCAAAGAGAATTCAAATACAAATATCAGCGAGAGCAATTACAATAACATTATACCTAAAATATGAATAATTAAGCAACTAGCAAAGAAAACCTGAACGCACAGACAAGAACCAAAAGATTGTAAATCAAGATCAAGCGCAAAGAAACAAGATCAAAGATGTAGCGGATAAATTGACGATAAAAGAGATCATATTAACAAAAATATCTTACCTGAAGATTGTTAATGGATGATGGAGTGATGAAAAGCAACCAGCCGATGCAAATACAGGAAACCCTAAATTTTTGCTTGCGTTGAAGAAGATCGTCTCTCTCCCTCTTTCGAAATGTAATTGGGAGAATACAAAAAGGGATCTCAGGCTAAACGAGAAGTGAGGGTGACGTGGCTCGGTTTTTGTCTGACCCCTTGTTGTCTGGAAATAGCAAATGTGGAGTACAAAATTAGTAGCATAGCGTACAAGTCATTGCAACAATGTAGCACTATCTTAGTATCTTTTGCGTGTGTATTTTTATGAAATGATTTTGGTCAATTTCACGGATATGGTGTCCACAGGTGGAGAAGAACACCCTTGTCCACATTATATTAAAAGAAGTCGAGTAAATTACACTTTTGATCCATATGGTTGGCACACATCTACATGTTTAGCGTTAATGTTAAAAAAATTAATAAAGATGATCTTTGGTGTTATTAAAATTTAGGGAAAATGACACATAAAACCTATGAACTTTCTAGAGTTTACCCTTTTAGTCACTAAACATTTTTAGTGGCTTTATTAGGGAATGAATTGTGTTGCAACCTAGCAATTTAATCCCTTTAACTTATTATACCCGGTTACCATACCACATCATCTCATTTTGACACATCATCGATGACATGACGAAATTGTATTTAAGTCTTGAACCTAAACAACGTCGTTTTGGAATGTGAAATGTACAGGCCATATTTACACTATTCACCGCTTCCGTATAAAATTTGAAGCGTGTGCCCTAAAATGACACAATTCATAACCTGGTTACCCCGACTACACCCTAAACTTCGATACCAATCGCAGAAACGATGCCTTCACGATCATCTCAAGATCACAAATGGTCACCCAACTACAATCAGCACATGGCTGAAAATGTCTCAAATGGAGTCACAAAATGAAGACCTGGCGATCAATCTGTTGCAGACACAATTGGAGGTGTCGCTTGTGAGGGAAGAGATTGCAAACGACCTTCGTGAGCTACGTCGCAGCCTCACTAGAGATATGGACGCCCTAAATCATGAAGTCGATGATGTTAGGGCAGGTCAACTCGATCTATCTAACATGGTTGCTGATTTGAAGAATCATTTCAGTTCATTGCAAGCGTCGTATGTCAACATTGTTATGGGAAAAAAGAAGTCGAAGAAAGTGAAATAGGTCTTTGGGGTTTTTGTCGTTGTTGTTTTCGGGGTTTTAACCTACAGGTTTTTTAGATGATAGAAGAATTGTAGGTTAAACATTTCAATCATGGGTTTCTATTTTGTTTTGATGTGCATCTTCTTTATTCTCCTTATTAGCAATGGGTTTGGCTAGTTGTCTTTTGGTTTGTGGTTGTAGTAGTTGGTGGTTTTGTGATCATGATGTTGTGATGATTAGTATTTTGATGGTAGTCATAAGTGATGGTTCTCCTATATACTTAGACAGTTGTGGAAATCCTGTTATAACTTGTTCAATAGATGTAAAGATGCAGAAACCCATGAATGAAATGTTGATTAACTTAACGTGTTCATGTTATAAATGGAGTACTCTTATCAACGTAAATATGCATGTGTTGTGAAGTAGTAGCCCTTTTTATGTTGATTTTGTTCTTAGGACCACATGCAGCAGTCAAACTTTTTATACCATTAAAACATGAACCCTAATGTTTGTGTTTGTTTGTGGGGACATGGGACAAAAGAGAAGAAACTAATACCCAGATTTGTTGTTGTCTATAACCCAGAAATGGAAAACATTGAAAAGTGCTTTTTTGTTGTATTTGTGATTGCCCACTTTGAAATATTGCATGGAAGAAATGAAATACCCCTAATGGGTTAAGTCAAATAATAAAGTTATGACTGAAATACCCCTAGTCGATTAAGTGACATAATAAATATCGACAAAAATAACCCTAGTGGGTTAAGTCACATAATAAATATTGACTGAAATACCCCTAGTGGGTTTAGTAAAAAATAATGATAGAAATACCCCTAGTTCTTTAACTAATTAAAATGAGATTAATACACCTTAGGGGACTGTATGTAATTAACTCATTCGAATGACTAAATTACCCTTAAACTAACATTCACATGCCTTTTTAACTAATTAAAATGAGAGTAATACACATAGGGGGACAGGAGACTGTATGTATTTTATGACTCTTTGGTTGACTAAAGTACCCCTACTTTAATAATAACTTGAATACACCTATTGGATTAACTCATTTGGATGACTAAATTACCCGTAAACTAACATTCACAGGCCCTCTTTTACAAATTAAAATGAGACTAATAGACATATGGGGATTGTATGTAATTTAACTTCTTTGATTGACTAAAATACCCTACTTTAATAAGTACATGAAATATCATACACCTATTATATTAACTGATTCAAATGACTAAAATACACTTACTTTAATAATAACATGACCCAAAACAAACACACGATTACAAGTGTAATTAATCTAATTTCGTTGACTAAAATACCCCTACGTTAATAATAATATTGACATGCCCTCCTGAATAAATGTTATTGACTAAATTACCTCGTATACAATACTATAAATGTGTACACATTACTATAAATAAGACCATACATATTATAGTATTGGGAAATCAAAACAATTTAGTCAATAAACTAAAGCTTACTAACATGACCTAACACTACTATTGTAGCACTCGATTCCTAGTATGTATTTAAATTTAACTAATTTTGTATTTTACTCTGGGACTCGGCAAGTTGGAGGCCCAATCGTCGAGTAGACTTGACATTATACGAGGGTTTTAGTGATCTACTCAACGAGTCGGGGGACCGACTCGATGAGTAGAAGCTGTCTGGATGAAACCCTAATATTTAGTGTTTGCACCATATTTAAACAACTTTTATTGCCTCAACCCAACCTCCATCGTCCCTCCCAACCCAGAGAAACCCTAACTCAAAACCCTAAGCCCTTATTGAGTGTTCTTGAGCCTTTTTGGTGCCTTGTGTGTGTATTTGAAGTTGGAGAAGAAGAAGGAAGCTTGGAAGTTCAAGTGGAAGTTAGTAGATACAGAGGTTGTACCCCATTTCCAGCTTATTTGAGGTATAAAGCTGAAACCTTGGCTATTCATTGCTTAGATCTTGATTTGGGGCTATTTTCTACCTTTTTCTAAGCTTTAGTGAAGTTATATTCGGATCTATGTGTAAAAGTGGGTTTGTACTTCAGATCTAGAACCATTGAGGGTTCCCATGGCATAAAGGTGCCAACTTTATGGACATGGGAGACCCATGCTTCATATATACCTCTTTTATGGCTTTTTGAGCCAAAAACCTCCATGCATGGATGTTAAGATTGGAAATTTACGTATAAAAAGGACCCTAGGAGGTCAGATCTATGATTTGGATGCATTAAGACCCACTGAAATCGATTGTATAGTTTTGGACAAAGAGTGACTCGATGATTTAGGTCATATTCCCCATCAAATCCTTTCTGTTGATGGACCAGATTCTAAGATAGAAGAACACCCAGTTATTTATGCTCATTAGGGACCTGGAAATCATGGAACTCGGCGAGTGGATGAACTAACTCGGCGAGTTCAAGGCAAAGTCCCAACCCCATGAAGACGGACTCGACGAGTTAAACGAGAACTCGGTGAGCCATAGACTAAACACATTCATTCAGATGAAGATGAAATCGACGAGTTCAATGATGAACTCGACGAGTCGGTTGAAGATGGTCCTGATGTTATGGTTGAAGGAGAACTTGTCGAGCTCTTGCTAGACTCAGCGAGTAGAGATGGGGTTGTAACATTTGTAAGAGTGGGGACTCGACGAGTTGGTGGACCAACTCGGCGAGTCGAGTCAACTGGATGTTGACTTTGACTAGGGTCTGACCTTGACTTTGATTTGGACTTAAGTTGACCCTTATAAGAAGGTTATGAGCATGAAATAGTAATCAAGAAAGGTTGTTGTGTAGGGATTGAGGAGTTGAGACGAGTTGATTCCCATATTGAGGATTGTGCAGACACTACACGACATCGAGGTGAGTTACCTTTCAGTAGAGGTGGGTCTAAGGCACCAAGGCTGGCGCACTAGTAAGAGTTATAGTTGAGATGATTGTCTTTGTGATAATTGTCTGGTATGTGTTATGATTATGTGCTAGTATGCTATGATGTTATGTGATATGTGATAGGAGGGGTAGGATAGACCCCAGTACCGGTCGAAAGGACTGAAGGGGTCACTACAAGAAAAATAAGTTTTTGCTACGGAAGGATTCCATTGCGAAAAGCTGAAATTCCGTTGCAAAAGACGAATAGCGACGGAATTTGCAACGACCTATTTTCGTCCCTAAAAACACCATAACGAGGGTTTGCAATGGAAAAGATAATTCTATCACAAATGTAATAGCGGAATGAAATCCAGGGTAGGTGGTATTCCGGCGTGTATTCCATAGTAGGATTCCATCGCACAATCCGTGGTAGTTATTTCATTACAAATTTTGTGGTGGTGATTTCCTATCAAATTCCGTCATAGTAGTTTCCTAGCAAATTATGTGGTGGTGATTCCCTAACAAATTTTGTGGTGATGAATCCCTAGCAAATCTTGTGGTGGTGATTCCCTAGTAAATTTTGTGGTGGTCATTCCCTAGTAAATTCCATGGTGGTCATTCCCTACTAAATTCTGTTGTGGTGATATCGTAGCAAATTTCGTCGTGCTGAATCCCTAGCAAATTTCGTTTGATGACTTCCTAGCAAATTCCGTTTGATGACTTCCTAGCAAATTTCGTGGTCACGAATCCCTAGCAATTTTAGTGGTGTATATTATATACCAGATTCCATATGGACCGATGGACATTTGATTTATAAACTATATCAAAATTATTTTGTAGTAATATATGAAAAACAAAAAAAATCAAAACCATTATATCATAAAATAATACAATAATTATTTATTACATGGAAAAAAGAAAGTTGTTGCTCTAAAATACAATTTTAGTGTTGTTGTTTCGTAAAGACATTAATAAGATCCAATGTCGTTTGAAGTTGTTTTTCAAGATGCCCGACCCTTGTTTTGTTTTCATCTTGTTGGGTGTTAATCATTTCTTTAAGCTCTTCGTTTTGATGTTTTTGTTTAGCAACAAATTCCCTCATTTCTTCTATTTCATCATTTTTTTTTCGGAATATCATATATATATCCGTTTTACCGTTCCTATTGGGAACTGCCTTTGCAAAAGAGCCTAATCCATAAA